AGGTAACAAATATTTTGACTTTGTCATAACATGTTGATGTTGATATGTCATATTCAAGAAATTGCCCAGCTTTAGAGGGTGAATATACATCTCCATGTACTGAGCAGAAGAGACCTTTTTAGATGCCACTTAGCTTTCTGTACCTAGGTGCTCCATTTATCAGGATCATGCTGCAGTGTGGCTGATTTATGTGTTAGTTCCAGCAATGGTCACCTTAATACAGAGATTTCTGTTGGTTCTTCAACTAACAAAAAACTGGACAAAACTGGAGTCTTTATTCCCTGGTTCTGTGTTCTTACTTACTGTTTCTAATGCTCCTTCAGTGAGATCACACCTGAGGGCAGAAGAATCACAAAGCTGGACCAGATTCTGCTCAATGGAAATAACATAACTATGGTGAGTCATCAAAGGCTGCATGTGTTGACTTTCTGTGCCTGTAAATCGATTGGTGATTGTATTCAACTCCTTTAAGCTGAGCTTTCCTCACAGTTTTGTTGCATCAGGAAGTTTCAAGTAGCTTGTCTGCATAGCTGGCCACAAAGCCTGGCCTTCCAACACAAGGGCATTCCTAATTTCGTAGAAAGGCCCAAGTAGGAAGATTTGTGTCTAAGTTGGCTGTGTATGAATGAGAAATTGTCTCCATTGTGTTGTTTTACCTATCTTGCACCTCTGCAATGTGTGCCTGAGCAGGTGCCATCCTGTGTTCATTGGTTAGCCTTTTTCTGCTTTGGCTATTGTTCTGCATGTTGAGAGGACAGCATATGTTCTGAATCCTTGCATGGGGTGAAATTCCTGCCATCCAGTCAAGCTGGTGGTGTGTTGCCCTTGAAGAAGAGCCTGGTTTTTCAGCAAGACATAGATACATTTCTGCATTAGGTCTCACATTTCTTTTGTAGACATGTCTTCCCACATCAGGAATTCCATGCTTTAGACTTTTTCTTATTTTGATCCCGAATCCAGTGAAGCTCTTTCTCTTCAGAAATATTCAGCTGATTAGGACGAAGATACCAGTAAAAGGAGTAGTTAATCCTTTTTTTTTTCCCTTACGCTTTTCCTTTTGTATTTCTTTTTCTCTTTGGTTCTTTGCTTCCTTCACAAGGAGATGTTATGCTGATTTACTCCCTGCTGCCTTTTTGGTTTGTGTGTCTATGGCAATAACTTCCTCTGTTGGGAGAGTCCTTTGTGGTCTAGCCACTTTTGTGGTCCATGTCCTAAAATGTTTGTTGTAAAGCAATAGCTGTCATGCATGGGTTTGTAAAGCTGAACTCCATTGCACTAATGCAAAAATCTCTTACTCCTTCATAGCTGGTTCCTGGAGGAGAAGGACCTGAAGTATGAAGACACGATATTCATACGTGTATATATATGCAAAATCTAAATACAGATTTTGGGGTGGAAGTGTGTTTGGGTGTGGATCATTCGTTTGCTTTGCTTACATACTTGACATTTTACAAAAGACAACTCTTTAAGAAAGGGGCTGGTGGTAACGTTGACTTTTTAAGTTGAAATCATTACTTTTTTGTAAAGACATGTAAACCTCTTCTGAATAAAAGGCTTCTTCTTTGTTGGTTACTGTGTTCTGTTATGTAAGTGCACAAGTTAGATAATTTTATAACTACTTGAAAGAGTAGAAAAATGACAGTTGTGTTTCAGTTGCCATCAGTCTTCATTTTTCCTACATCTGTTGCATTTGTTTCTGGCCCAAGTCTATATAAGACACAAGTCATGAGCCAGGATGTTGCTGTGCTTTGGCATACAGGCAGATACTGAGCTGGATGCTTTGTTCAAAGGCTGTGTCACTTGAAACCATGTGGCTTAGTTCTGAAAGCCCTTCAGACTGGGTGCATCTCTTTGATGCTCAGCAGCCTTTGGTTCTGGTGGCCTTCAGGTTCAACTCTTGTGGACCATTTTGCTGGGCTTCCTTACAGCAGAGACCCTGTAATGGCATTTGGCAAGTAAGGACAGACCAAACCTATTTCATGTTCTGGGGGTAAAAATCCCCAAGGCTGGTGTTAAAACTCGCTGGTGTCAGTGGTGACTCTGCTTCCACCACTTGATGATGCTGTGTATACTCAAATTGTGTCTGTGGCTGTCTGTGGCTGCTTGCACCGTTTGGAACATCCATTTTAGAGTAAACACGAGTTTCTGTCTTCATCTGTTCTGTGATGTAAGAGTGTGACAGATGCTGCAAGTTACTATTGTAGGGTAATTTATGTAAGGAATTGCTGTTTTGTTCTGATGCCATGCTCCCAGTGCAGCTTATGCTTCCATAGTACACCTCTCCCCTGGCTTATATTTGTCAGTGTCTTTGGAGAGGAATCACAGGTGCCTGCTGTCACTGTAGACAAGCAGGGTGCAGCATGGGCTCACGTGGACAGGATGTGCTTTGCCTTCCCATCACGAGAAGAAAGGGGCTCAAGAGCAAGATTCCGCAAGGAAACTGCTATGCTGATCTTTCTGCCTTGCTTAATCTGACAGAAGAGCTGCCTTCTGCTAGCTGGGTGTGAGCTCACAAAGCAGTGAGAACCTCTTGCTGTTTGTTAAAAGGGAGAGGGAGTCCCTCCTCTCTACAGGGAGTGTGCAGCTACTGGCTCATGTGTTCTGAATACATCATCTGTGATTGCAGTGTTCAGGTTGTGTCCTGCCAATCTATACTATTTACTCCCTGAATGTGTTTTTTTTCCTTTCTGTCTCCATTTCTTCCTCCAGCTTTGTTTAATACATATATTTTGAAAATGTACATTTTTTGAAACTTAGATTTGATTGAAGCATCATCTGTGTGTGATTGCCTTACTTTCCTAGAAATAACGAGTCTTTTCACAAGAAATTCAAAGATTTCTAGTCAGGGCAGCACTACTGTGTTGAGATATTGTTAAATAAAATTTTGGTTTTGTTCCAGTATAGGCACTTGATTTCTACTTCACTCAGTGTTTTGAAAACAGTCATGCTTCTGAGAGAAGAGTAGATCTTGACTCGAAAGCAGCTTTTACTTTGACAGCACAAACATCTTGTTCTCTCAGGAATTTGTTGCCTTGAAAAAACCCAAACAACTTGATACTGCCTCAGTTCTTGCTTGATTGGCTGTGTTTTGTTCCACTCACTGCAGAAGGAGTGCTAAGACTTAAGTTTTCTGAAGACAGTTCTTGACTCAGGGGTCTGCAGAGATTCCTCTGAAGACTGTGTGTGTAAACACAATCCTTTTAAAGATGAAACATTTTTTCACTCTCAGCTGAGAATATAATGTATTCCCAGTGGGTCTGGTTTGCTTTGCATTCATTATCCTGTAGCCTGTTGCTTTGGAAGTGCAGCTAGTAAGTTTATCCATTCATTAAGTAAGTAGTGGTTTTTGTTCTTCTTTCCATAGAAATCCAAGTGCTTAATTATACTACACTGTCCTGCTGTGGATACTAGCATTCTCCAGTATGCTATTCAGGGTGCCACCACTTGTAGGTCATTTAAAATAATAACCTTAAGCTTAAAAAAGATGGAAAATTGAATGAGGCTTTAAGTTTAGAGCAAGATAGTTGTCAGGTTAAAATAATTTTGTGGTTAGGCCATGCACAGTGCTGGTTCTATTCAGATTTATGTTTGTTTAGCTTTCTGTTTTTCTTCAGGATAGTACTGGTTGCAGTGATCTTTAGTTCTACTAACTGGCTGTCTGCCTTAGGATGGAGAAAGTTCCCTTCTGCCTAGTCTTTCAGTATGCTTGCTCATTTTGGTTTGGGTATAAATATCCTCTGAGTAACCTCATTGAAATTATTAAAATGAGTCCTGTCAGTCCCAGGTCACTGCAAATTCTTAACACAGTCAGTGCTTCCAAAGCATATAATTGTAATTTAGCAGTCTCATCAGCAATGTTTTGCAGTTGTAACATTATTTTGGTCAACTGAACTACAGTCAGACAAAATGTAAGCAGAGAACACTAGAAGATTTATTCCAGTTTCAACTCCAATGAATCTGACCTTGAGGCAGTCAATACAAAGAGTCAGCAAATATTTTCAGGAGCTTGCTTTGACATTTTCAAACTGCTATAGTGAACAGGAATCAAAATTCAGCTTTGTTTTGACTGGTGCTGCATTAAAGCTGGGCCACACTTTTGCTTTCTGCTGAAAGAGAGAATGGATTTGAATTAATCACTTATCAACAGATGCTGCAGCTTGATGTCATTTTCTTGAAGTCACTAGGGTTGGTTAATTAAACTGTTAGAAAAAAAAAACTATGCCATTTTATTTCAGAGGTCCTTACTTACATTTGTGCAATATATTTCATAACTCTCCATTTTCTGCAGAACCTAATATATATTTCATGGCTATTTTCTATAAGCTTTTATAAGCTCACATTCTCTTGAAGCCTTCTTCTAGAAGCTCAAAATAAGAATTAAGTATTTGTTGCTTTAATAGGAAAACAGTTACAAGAAAACACAAAAATATACCTGTTTAATCCATTATGAAGAAATACTTCAAGCAGATTGAATATGATCTTCATACATCAATACTTAATAGAATTTGTTAGCTGTTTTCTTTCTTTTTTTATAATGTATTTAATCAAAATTTTAAAATAGATGTTTTATAGAAAAAATGGCAATGTACTGTAGTTTTATTCCAATTAATGGGTTCTCAAAACCCAGAGTAACCTTTTTAAATCTAATTCAAACCTGTAAACATTATTCAGTCTTTTGTTGGGTGGTTGGTTGGTTTAGCATGCTTCTTTTAATGGATCTTCATATTCTGTTTTCAGTACTGATTAAAAAGATTGGCCTTCAGCAGCCATTAAGTGCAAAGTGATTTGGCCAGTCCTGCTGTCACCTGCATTCTCCTGGCATTCCGTTTGGTGAAGAACTTGACATGGCAGCAGCCCCTGCACAGGAAGAGGAAAACACAGGTTATAAGGATTTATAAATAAGCAGTTAAAATGTTTTTCCATTCATTCCATGCATTGCTATATTGTCATGATTTAGGAATGTTACTCCCTGGTTCAGTACCCCCACTGAGACTCTCCCAAACTCTGTGCAGTTTTTGACAGTCCAGTGTACTGTTCAAATTTGCCAGAGGCTAATGCATGGTAAGGAATAGGATACCTACTCAATACTGTGCTCTCTGGCCCAGGAAACTATTTTTGAAACTAATGCTATTGTCTGACTCAGCTCTTTCTGGGGTTCCATGTTACCACAGGGCTTTCTTTTCAAGGTCCAAGATGGTGTTGGGGCATAGGGCACATCTCCAGCCATCCATTGGTTGGTTCCACCACTGTCAGCACATAGCACTTGCCTTGGCAGGTTTGTGGGACTGCAGTCTAACTAGCCAAGCCTCCCCATATTTTGACCACTGTTCCCCGTGCTACAGAGGCTTTACTTGCCCTGCTTTATTGCAGTGCATGTTTCAAAGTTAAGAATAATCTGGGAAATAGTGCCCATGCTTAAGTCCACTCCATGGTCAAGTCACAAGCCCATCTATATTGTTGCATCTCTTCCCTGGTGACTTGAAGCATCATAGGGCCAATGAGCCAGAAATAATTCACTCCTTTTTTGCCAGACCAGATCCAAGTTTTAATCTTGGCAGTCCAATCCACCTGTCCATTGTTGTGATGTTCTTCAGTCACCCAAGTCCTGGGTATGGGTGGATCCACATGATGTGCTTTTACAGCCAGCTTTTCTATCCAGGCAGTGGTGTCTTGTCAGACTACAGCAGCTCAGATGGGTTTACCTCTGTGCTGCTAGTTGATCTTTTTCCATTGATCCAGCCACCCCTTACGGAGCATACAGAGTGTACAGATAGGGTGCTGGCCATTTCTCTTGTTTAGTAATATCTAAAGCCATCTGGATGGCTTTCAGCTCCGCATATTGATTTAATCCACCTTGCCCTGAATAGCTTATGCAGCTCACCATGTAGTACTCCATATAGCAGCTTCCCATATTTTATTTATCCCCATGATATGGCAGGAGCAGTCAATGATGAGGGCACGTGACTTTCCTCTTTCTGGTAGCTGACTATATGGTGGGACCTCCTCAGCATGTCACCTTTTCGTCATCCTCCTCTGATGATTGTCCAAAATGTTTGACTTCCTTGATTTCTAAGATCCCTGGGTGATTGGTATTTCCTATTTGAGCTCACTATGTGATCAGCACGACTCACTTACTCCAGGTAGCATCAGTGGCCTGATGTGTGGGAAGGACTTTCCCTTTGAACATCTAACCCAGCACCAGCAGTGCCAGCAGGAGCTGTGCTTTGGTGCCCATCACTTCCAAAGCAGCTCAAAATCCTCCATAAGCTGTCAGAATCTCTTTTTCAGGTGGGGTGTAACAGGCATTTGATCTCTTGTATCTCTGAGTCTGGAACCCCACTGGTCATCCTGAAGTCTTCCTGGGTATTTTTTGCCAGACTCCAGGAAGGACCATTGTGCACATCTGTGCTATAAAGCAAATTTTTCACACGTGCTCCTATCCTGACCAGCCCAAAGGTTACTGCATGAAGATCTCCTGTTCAGTTAATTAAAAATCTTATTGTTGTTCAGGACCCCACATGAAAATATTCTTCTTCCACATCACATGATAAAGAGAGGGTATACAATCTGACCATAATCTGTAACATGTATCCTCCAGAAACCCACAGTGTCTAGGAAAATCTGTGCTTGCTTCTTGCTGGTTGGTGGGGACATAGCTGCTTGTTTGTTGACCACATCCATTGGAATCTGATGACATCCCACTTGGCATTTTGCTTCTAAAAGCTGAATTTCCTGGGCAGGTCCTTTGAGTTTGTTTTGCTTTATGGCAAAACTGGCCTTCAGGTGGATCTGGGTTATTTTCTCCTCTTCCTCGAAAACTTCCTTTGCTGCATTGCCCCATACAATATCATTGATGTACTGCAAGCGTTCTGCAGCCTCTCCATTTTCTAGTCTGGATCAGCCAGTGGCAAATAATGTGGCTGTTTCCACCCCTGTGGCATCTGGTTCCAGGTGTACTCAGGCCCTGCCTCTTCTGTTTTGAGGGCTCTGCTTCCACTTCATCCCTCATGAAATGAACTGACTACATGCTGGATTTCTTTTTCTCTATGGGGGTGACTGCTACTGTCAGGGGTTGTTCCTCTGGCTCAGCAGCAATTTGAGTGGCCATGGTGCCTGTTGGTCTGCTTTCTTTCTCCTCCCCTGGAGGTGATGTCTACTATTGAGCAGCGTCCAGTAAACAGTAGCCAGGACAGAACATGTTGCATAAGTTCATGCCTCTCTGGAGCTACTACAGCATTTTTCTTTGACACATTTCATCATTTTAACAGGTTCCTGTAGTTGTTGATGGGTGAACTGCAAAACCATTGGAGCAGTCCTCCTGGCTCATATCCTACGTTCCATACCACTCATTACTACCCTGCTTCAGGGCAGTTATTTCAGAATAACTCTAGAAATCTCTGTTGGCTCTAAATATGGTGTGCACTGCACTGGCAGACCTAGCAACAGGAACATGCTTTCCTTAACATCTAAAAGGAATTCAAAATTCTTAAAAGCTGTTATAATAGGTCTGAGCGGGGGGAAGGGGGTGAAAGGCTGGGGAAAATCATCCTCCTCTTTTCTCCCCATAGACTGGATACTTTTAATTGGACTCCCAAGGGTAGCACCTTAGTTAAGGTTGGAGGTCAAAACTGAATACACATCCAAAATGAGCCCTGGTATTATCATGTCATGATACCACACAGTGCAACAGAGCAATCCTGATCCCTCTCCATGCTCTGAAAAAGAGAATCATGATGGGCACACAGTGCATGTATAGAAACATATTGAGTTTCTGTTGGCCAGGTATTGGTGCTGGGGGCTACAGGAATGTCTTCTGTGAGAGCCTGCTGGAACCTTCCTCACTGTCTGGCAGAGTCACTGCCAAGGCTGGGCCAATCAGAAATGATGGTAATGCCTCTGTGACAACAGAGAATTTTAAGAAGAAAGGAAAAAAAAATTATTGCACGGATGTGGCCAGAGAAGAGCAGAGTATGTGAGACGAACAACTCTGCAGACACCAAGGTTAGTGGGGAAGGAGAAGGGGAGCTGAGATCCACCTGCAGTCTGTGGAGGAGAGCAACTCTGGGGTGAATGCTGAGAAGAGGCTATGAATTCATGGGAGTCATGTCCTGAAGAAGGCTTCTGTCCCAAAACGGGGATGTCCTGAAGCAGGGTCCTGTGGACCTATGGAGAGAGGAGCCCATGCTGGAGCAGGTTTCCTGGTAAGACTTATCACCCTTTGGGGGGACCCATGCTGGAGCAGTCATTTCTTGAAGAACACTGTGGAAGAGTGATCCCTGTTGCAGCAGTTTGTGAAGAACTGTTGCTCATGGGATAGACTCACATTGGAGAAGTTCATAGAGAACTGTCTCCTGTGGGAGGAACTCCATGCTGGAGCAGGAGAAGGATTCCTCTTCCTGAGCAGCAGCAGAAACACACAATGAACTGACTGTCCATCCCCTGTCTCCCTGGAGGAGAGGATGTAGAGCTGGGAAGGAGGGAGAAGTGAGGGGAAGGTGTTTTTTATTTTATTTCTTGTTACCATTCTCTGATTTTGTTTGTAATAAATTTGATTAATATCCCTAATTCTAGCTGGTTGTGTCTGTGACAGTATTTGGTGATCTCAGGATCACCAGGATTGATCTCTCCTGGTCCTTAGCTCATGAACCCTTTGTTACATTTTCTCTCCCTTGTCTAGCTGCAGAGGGGATGAGGCTTTGGGGGGTATCTGGCATCCAGTCAGGGTCAGCCCACCAGGGGGTTAGGTAGCGCATCTATGGTTGCTAGCTTTGGAACAGGCTGCAGGGAGCTGCAGAGACTGCAGGCCCATGGCCTCTCAGTCCTGCCTGAGAAGCTAGCCTGGGAATTCAAAGGAGGATTTCAAAACAATCCTCAGAGACAGAAACAACTGTCCTCTTGTTCTCCTTGCAGGAGAGAGTCAGGGGGGGCAGAGTGCCCCTGACCAATGATGGTGATGTAGCACTTTGCTAACCAATAAGAGTTTCTTTTCTGTACTTTCCACGTATCTGTCTATAAGACAGGCCTGAAGCAAGAAACTAGGGAATTCTCGTGTTGTGACTCCCTGGAGAGTCCAGTGTCGTTCTTTCTAGCCGTTCCCAATCGGAACGACACGCATCCACATGAGCAGACCCAGCAGCATTGTGACCAGTGACTCTATACCTAATACAACAAATGCTTAGATCAAATTGTTTCCAGGTCACATGGGGCAGATCTGTTATTATATCAACCTTTCAAGCCCTGAAGACAGATAAGGGTGCTGTGGTTTAGGAATGTGCTCCCCAGTTCAGTGCCCCCAGTGAGACTTTACCAAACTACACACTGCTCTCTCTTGCTGCCCCATCTTGCTGCAGCATGCTGGAGACGAGAATTGGAGGCACGAGAGGTAAACACCATTGGTTAAGATAAGAACAACTTACTTGAAAGAGCAATGAGATACAAATCCAAATGTAACAGCAACAGTACTAGTGTCAGAGGGTATAAGAAAAGAAACTATTCACACAGAAAAAAACCCCAGATAATAGAAAATATTAGACAGCTCCCTCCACCACATTTTCTTGACCGGAAGAACTCCTTCTCTCCCCAACAGAATCCCATTCCCCTGCTCCTGGAAGTGATGTGAGGTGGTGTGGAATAGGCTACTACTAAAGATTAACCTTGTCCTGGCTAAAGTTAGGACATATATACTGACTTCAGCATTTAACACCTAGTAATGGAAAAAAAAAAAAAAAAAAAAGCAAGACTCTTTTCACTATTTTCTTGATACTGCTGCCCCTTGGAGCCCTGGCTGACCAACCATGCAGGTCAAGGGCCCTGTCAGAGGACACCAGAGCTCATTCCTGACCCACCAGCAAGTCAGCTGTTCTCTTTCTTTCCTCTGGGAGTGGGCACAGGTAGGACCTTGTCCCACCACTGAATCTGTACCTCCTCTGGCAACCATGTAGCCACTGCAGTTCCCTTGCAATGGCTGCAGCCATGAAATCTTACTGTGATTTGAGTCCTTTTTCCTGTGCTCAGTGAATTCTTATATGCATGCATGAACAAGATATAGAGAAAATGATCCTTTCAACAGAAGGCACGCTAGAACATTTCCTGCAGCAATACATGTGGCAGCTTCAGCAAAATGAGACATTTTATTTATTGTCTCCCTTACACTTTTGAAATCAATCCCTAATCCTAAGTGGAAAGGACTAAGTAGGCACAGAGGTAATGCTACAGGAAATGTATCTACAACTTGACAAAAAGTTAGAAGTTATTAATAACCACACTTTGTTCACTGTTTAGAAAATTTTATTTTCTGTTTATTTTTTCCTGTATAAAATAGTTCTCCCTTAACTGAATCAACTAGACTGACTGCCTTGTTTCAGTTTTTCCCCTTACATCATCATTGGATATCTGATCTGGATTTCTAAAGGTCATAAAATACCTGTATCCAGTGTTTTCAGAAAAAACCAAACAAGTATAAACACACTCTTAACAGCACTATTCTCCCTAAAGATTACCCAACTCTTGTTAAAATCTTAGTAACATGACATCCAATTTAGCCCTCTAAAAGCAGATTTTGGTTCCCAGCACTTACTTTCCTGCTCTTTTTTTTTCTTTAAGCGCTTTGTCCGGTCAATGGCAGCCAACTCAGCTTTCAACAACAGGTAACGTTTCCGAATTTCCTGCAATTTTGCTTGGAGAATTGTTATGCGCTCGGTGCTACTCAAATTTTGCAAGTCAGCTGCAATTTAAACAATTTATTTTAATTATTGCACTGCAGCATTTCCCAAGCCTTCTGAATTTCAGTGAAGGGGGAGGTACTCAAATCTTAGTGATGTGCTTTGATGTAGCAGGCAGCAAAGCTGAGGAATGGCAGGTGCTCTGTATTATCACTATCTTGACTGACACAAACATAGTGAAACCTCTTCTTACAAGAAATACTAAACAAGTCCTGGTTCAAGAAGGTAAAATGGAAGGGGGAGATTCAAAAATTAATAAAAATTAATAATCTAAGAGGCTGAACAGAAGCAGAGAACAAGGACTAAAACAACAAGAAAGAAGAACTATCGGGATATATGACAAAATTAAGCAAACTGAGGATGGAGTGATTTTAGAGGGGTAAAACCCTCAAAATCAGAAAATTCCAATAGGCTTCCAATAGTATATAGCAAGACCACAGGAGGCATGTTTCAAAGACGATACTTACACTCCTGAAAACTCCATTTGCAACCTTTGGGCAAACGATTGTCGCGTTCTTTTAGATCAGATTCCCTCTCTTCACTTTGCCCACATTTTCCTGTGGGAAGGTAGATTGTTACAAAACAATGCAACTTTCCCACCCAACCCAAAGCTTACCAGGAGCTGTCTCACTCTAATATGACAGAATCCATCCTGTTGTAGCAGCTTGGTACACAGCTCTCTGCACCACAGGTGCACAGGTACAGGCCCACAAACCAGGTCTGTAATGGGGCCCCTCTAATTCTGGCATGCTGGGAAAGGGAAACCTTGCACTGGAAACACCGGCCAGTTAGTTGTTGTGCACGTAGACTCGGATCTGTTCTGCAGATTTATGGGAACCAAAGTCCTACAGACCTAGAAGGCTGATAAAAGTAGCAGACTGTGGCTCCACAATCCATCCCGAAAACTGGCAAGCATTTAACTGGAAGCGTGTTTGCATGAGCATAAGGAGGTAGGGTAGGGACACACTTCCTGGAAGGAGATTCTTGAATACGATCCAGCTGCTCAGGGTTCGTATAGCCACAGTCCACTCTAATCTCCAACTGGATCACGACAGCAGTACACTTACTGCTTTAGAATCACAGCCATAAATAAATTGCCTGCATCAGAAAATAAGGCAAAGAGGCACTGTAATGTGTTCATGTAGGTGCCAAAATTATCTACATCTTTCTAGTTACGGAGCTATATAGTCTTTAAAAGACTTTGCAAGACTGATTATTACATCCTAGCTCCTGTTCACCTTTTTAAATATTATTTTCAAACAAATGGCACTTTCACACATTTTATTTCACATTGAGCTGCTGTACTTACTAATTTTATTCTTCTTTTTGATGTTCACAGATGTTTTGAGGCTTGTTTTCTGCTTTTTGGAGGAGCTGTCTCTTCCGTGAGCATCTTGAAGATTTTTTTGGCCTCTAAACACTATAAAGGAGGAAAAATATCCCAAAAAGTAGAAAGAAACAGAAATAACAACAACAACAAATAAAAAAGCCTTCAGTTCTGTGTGCTTTTTCTCCAAGTATGTACATCTGTGATTAACAAAGCAACAGAGATACATTTGTTGAGGCCTGCCCATTGACCTCTTCCAAACTCTCACCTTTGTTGAAGGAAACACGTTTTGTTGCATTCTTTTAAAACAGCACTTCCAGATGAATGATAATAGTAACACACTTTAAGGGCATTTTGAGAAAATTCAATTAATTGTTTAACTGAAGTCTGTTGCAATGAAAAAAACAATTCTGTCATTTCAGGAATATAGTCAGACACATATTACCTTCCTCAGAGTTAAAAATTTTTTAGACACTGCAGCACAGTGAAAGCAGCTGTATTTTTGATGAACTGCAAAAGACCCAGTCACTTTCACAAAAAAGCTTTTGGATGCAGCCCTGTCAACAGTTAAAAAGCAGGCAGCAATACACTGACATCATGTGCACAATTGTTGGCTGTGTTTATTATCCTCTGTTCTCTGGTGGTCTCAGGATGAATCTCAAAATCACATCTGAATGTGAAGCCCAGCTAAGAAGGTCAATGTTTGATATCAGCTTAACTTCCATTTTTCAGAACATTAACTTCACAAGGGGCAATGGTTGCCCAAACATGGAGTAACTGGTGCTTCCTCCTTCAAATTAAATAGCTTACAGAGAATCATCTTCTATTTGTAAGCAGGGCACTCAAAATGCTTTCATCTTGCTACAATAAGTATTTCTTACACAATGTATTACAACTTGTTTTGGGCCTTTCTTGTCAGGTCCAGTATGAACATCATTCTTTTTTACTTTTTTCCTCATTGAAACCATCACAATTCCTAACAAAAGGTCAAGAAACTACCTGACAGTTGTATTTTATTCACTACATGATTATACCATTTCTATGCATTAGACAGTAGGCTACTATTTCCTACAAAAATTCACTTCCCAGCAGCAAAACTATAGCAGAATGAAGATACATCCACAATGGTAAAAGGAGACTTGTTTAAGTTGAAGACAACTCTTTTTACCCTTTCCTTTACCATTTCCAGCATGCTCTGGCTCTGATTGATTACCACTACTGGAGGTGACACTGGCATCAAAATCTTTCGAAGAAATATTTCGCTCAGATTTGAGAACTTGCATTTGCCCTGCAGTATTCTGTATCTCTGCTGTGCCATCTGTTTCACTTGTGATGCTTTGTATCTCTTCTTGATTTGGTGTTAAACTCCCAGAGACAGTGACAGCGGATTGATGGTTACTGTACTCTGCTTCAGCTACAGTGGAAGGTGACTCAGGAGTTGAAGGAGTATTTTGGACTAAAAACTCCTCTTCCTTCTCACTGTCAGTTTTATTCTAGGTGAAAGAATACAAAAAACCCTCCTCATTTGAGCAATTACAAGATTGCAATCCTAAAATTACAGCGTTTACAATTATGTTAAACATTTGATGTGTAGAGGAAAGCTCTCCTCTTCATTTAAAAGACTACAAGTACCTTCCTACAGTCCATACTGGGAGCTTTCTCCTGAAGACAGAACCTTTGCTAACACCAAAACAAATGTGGAGCAAGCACAGCCGGTGCTGTAGAAGCCGTGGGGTGACAGGCACAGCCCGGCAGCCGTTGGGCAGTTGGGCAGTTTGTGGCCGTTGGGCCGTTGGGCTGTTCCTTGGCACTGAGGTTCCAGAGGGAAGGAGGGCGAGAACATGGGGCAGCAGGAGCACTGACTCCTGTGGCAGAAGGAAATTCTTCCTTGCAGCTGATGGAAGCTAACCTATGCCTCAATGTCAGTTAAAAAAAATTAAAAGAATTTTTTTTTTAAAAGAATTCCTCTGAAATAAAATTATACGGATACACATGAGTCCTGTTTGCTCTCCAGAATCAGCAGAGGGATATCCCAGATTTCACCCCATCAAGTTGGCTTCCGACATGGATGAAATGGATTCTTCTCATCTGTTTTCTATTAAGTCATACATAAATTTAATTGAAAAAAGAAAAAAAAAAAAAAAAAAAAGGGGAAAAAAAAAAAAAAAAAAAAAAAAAAAAAAAAGAAAAAAGTGAAAACCCCAAAATCTTTATGGGAAAAGTTTTCATTTTTTAAAGGCTGGGAAGTCACTTTTCCTGTCATGAATTCATACGTCAATCAAAAGGGAACAGAATGGGCCATACTTAAGAATGTACCAAGCCAAAGTTGGGGTAACAAGAGCAAAAAAGGCAGTGAAACTACCTTTATTTTCTTTTATTCTAAGTTTTGGTACTTTCCCTTGGTCTGCCTTTATCCATCATACATAAACAAAAAAGTAAATCGTATACATTTTTGGCTTTTAGCAGCAAATTATGACATTTGTAAGAGAAATTACTAGGGAAAAGAAGAAAAGCCATATAATAGGAGCCATATAAAATGGAATTTGGATTTCAATAAAGAAGTCATTTGTGTACTTTTCAATTTGCTAAGTTTCAGCTAAGGTTCAATTCTCCATTTTCTCGGGACACAGATGATAAAAGGTTTTCTACACGGACAGGTAAGAGCAAAGGTGCGGTTTTTCCAGTCAGCATTGAACAGTAGGGTCACAGGCAAAACACACTACCCAAATGAAAATTCATGTGGATCTCTAGCAGATTTACTTTGTAAATATACTGTAAAAATTTAACAATAAGATAAATTCTTACAACTAGATAAAATATGACTAAGTAATAAAAAAACACTTCTGAACCTGAGTGTCTGCAAAGTGGGAATTTGGGGTGACTAACCCACATGGCGTCACTAACTTTCGAGTCACTTACTTTGCACAGAGACTTTTAAATCCTTTTTCAGTTCAAGGCTTCCACTTTATATCTGAATGATACAAATCAAACACTACTCCCTAAGCACCAAGATAATAACAATAGGCATCTTATGATCTAAGGCTGGGCCTGTTCAATCTAAAAGCAAAGAGGTACATTCTTAGAGATTGCCTTGTAAATCCTCCACAGAATTTCTAGATGAAAAGCAAGGAAGAAAGAGTACTTTTCCAGCTACTAGATTTATCCTAGCAAAGGTATCCCATTTTTAGGAAGACAAGACACCTCAAGGAAGTAGCAAGCCTTGGCAAATTCACTGAAAAATTCCAGTATTCTGCTGTGTAGCTCATAACATGAAAGGATCAAACTATTTTTTTGGCTGTAAGCAAAGAAAGGAGGAGAGTTAGTCTCATATCCAAATAATGGAATATTAGATGAGGGCTCCGTTCTTAATTTAATTTATTTTAAAATAATTTCTCTTCTTCCCCCTTTACCCACCCCAACATACACTACTCTTCAGAACTTCAAATTTCATTGCATGTGTTCCTTTCTTATTTCAGTGGCTGACTATAAAGTACAAAACTTGTATATTGGTAAAGCTTCACCAAACTGGGAAAGAAATTAGTATTTGGACATGCTGCTTTCTGAAGGGCAGAAAGAGAAGTGTTGACAAGAATATGCCTAAGTTTTGAATGCCTGAAGCACTCAAAAATAACATGTTTTGTGATATTGTACCACAATGTTACAGAGTTAAAATGTTGGAGTCTGGAATACAGAGTGTGTGCCCTTGTTTCTGATACTTAGTTATAAGATCTAGAAAAACACTGAATTTCATATAATATGAAATTCATGAGCATGTTTTCATGGTAAAACATGAAAACAAATGTTGAAGTTAGATAGAAAAAGCTAAAAATGTAAGTGTGTAGATTAGAAAGTTTTGGATAGAAAATGCCGCAGTGCATCACGGAGGTGATGGGTCATTGGGTCATTAAGAAAAATAATATATGTGTCTACTGTTAATTGGGTAAAAATAGGAATAAAGATAAAAGAACTGCGTATTTCGGGGCCATTTTGTGCATCAGACACGAAGTGTGCCACAAGGCCTTGTTTGTACCATCAGAAGAAAGAAATGTACCAGATTGCAAAAATTAACCTTGTAACCAGCCTAGAGAGATCTGTCAAGTTTTGTGTTCACCTGTTAATAAACATGAGAAACAAGATTCTAACGAGCTCGGGAGTTTTCATCGAACCATAAGGACTGAGATAAGTGGAACTCCCCACGAGGGAGGATCCCAGAGGAATTCAGCCCAAAGGAGGCTGAGAGACTAGAGGAAAAGTTTTATCCATAGAGAATTCAGCCCAAAGGAGGCAAGGAGAGAGAAAATTACAAATGGTGCCCCGTGTGAGGAGACAAAAACTCACAGAAGCTTCAATCAACACCTGCAGGATCACAGCAACCAGTTCCTGAAAGAAATCTGTCTGGAGAAAAACATCTGCTATCACATTCTGAAATTCCAAGGGCCCTGGACTCGGAACATTGGATTCTGCTGGTCAGTAATCTGAAGATAGCCAACAGGTCTGATAAACTGTATACAGTCTAGATAATGGGATTGAGTATTTCTAAAGAGAGATTGTTTAAACCCAGGATATGGGGGAAAATATAAATATGAGGTTTAAAGAGATAAGAGCCCCGGGAATGTGGGGAGATGAACTGCCCTTTCTGAAAGCGCAGGAAACCCAAAAAATTCCCCAGCGGCGTGGTACCCCTATCCCTGTCCCTTCAGAGAATGTGGGGGGACGAGGGAGGAATGTGAGGGAAAACTGAACACCGGGAAGCTTGTGTTACTTCAGAAAGCAGAGTGAGCAGTTTGTTATATTGTTGGAGGTTAAAAAATTGCATGGAGAGAGAATTCTTTGGTTCTGGTCAAAAGTTTAAAAGCAAGAAGATTAAAAATCTATTTCAATTAATAATTTGGAGGAATGTGTATGTTTGTGTATTCACAGGTTCAAAGCAAAAGTAACTTCCTAGTGAAGAACATGGAAACTCATCAGCTGCAGAGACAAACAGAGCCCAAAGAGCAGAAGAGCATGCAGATGTGAACTGTATCAAGACCACAGTTGACAGCTGAACAACTTGGATCCAACATGCAAGAGCAATGAACTTTGGGTTTCATGTGAAACAGTGGGAAAATCGATATTGTAAAGCCTCATTTGTTAAAGCATGGTGTGAACTGTGTCAAAATTCAGAATCTTGCACGAGGGATAAAATTCTTGAATATGAAGGTGAATCAGGTATCACCCTTGAGCTGTATCATTTTGTTGGTCACTTTGTGATGCAATTTCACCTGCATCACTTCTTTTAGTTAACTCAAAAGAAAGTATACCTTATCTCAGTGAAAACAGATTTTTGTATAATATTCAATTTTTCTGTGTTAAAACAGAATGAAGATGAGATAATGAATGTTAATCCAAATCATGCTCTATACAAAGAGGCAACATCTTAGTGTAACCTTCTATCAATCTTAGTTACACCTGATTGTGAAGAGTTTGACTCAAGAAATTTCAGATAGAGATCTGTAACAACTCAGCTTTCAATTCAAGTAGCTTCAGCAGAAACTTTAGAGCAATTAGACAAATTAAGCTACTGATCAAGTAAGCAACCTAGATCTATTTCTCTAGCTTTGAGTGGTTAGTTAACTGATGTTCAAAACTGGAGGCAGAGTGCTCTGTGAAACAGAGCAGCAGTTCTGTTGTTAGTGCATAGGGCATGAGTGAAGGAAAAACAGCCCTTCTTGAAAAGTAATCAAAGAAAAGCTTTTTTTTTTTTTTTTTTTTTTTTTTTTTTAAGAGAGGGGCAGATGTTGGAGTCTGGAATACAGAGTGTGTGCCCTTGTTTCTGATACTTAGTTATAAGATCTAGAAAAACACTGAATTTCATATAATATGAAATTCATGAGCATGTTTTCATGGTAAAACATGAAAACAAATGTTGAAGTTAGATAGAAAAAGCTAAAAATGTAAGTGTGTAGATTAGAAAGTTTTCTTAAATCACTGGGTGAAAAAGTTAGTTTAGAGAACAGGAGACAAGATGGAGGATTTAGGGTGCTGTCCCTTGTCCCTTCTTTCTTCTTCATGTTCTTCTCCTAGAAGTTTTTGGGTAATAGTAAGTGATTGGATAGAAAATGCCGCAGTGCATCACGGAGGTGATGGGTCATTGGGTCATTAAGAAAAATAATGTATGTGTCTACTGTTAATTGGGTAAAAATAGGAATAAAGATAAAAGAACTGCATAGTTCGGGGCCATTTCGTGCATCAGACACGAAGTGTGCCACAAGGCCTTGTTTGTACCATCAGAAGAAAGAAATGTGCCAAATTGCAAAAATTAACCTTGTAACCAGCCTAGAGAGATCTGTCAAGTTTTGTGATCACCTGTTAATAAACACGAGAAACAAGATTCTAACGAGCTCGGGAGTTTTCATCGAATCATAAGGACTGAGATAAGTGGAACTCCCCACGAGGGAGGATCCCAGAGGAATTCAGCCCAAAGGAGGCTGAGAGACTAGAGGAAAAGTTGTATCCATAGAGAATTCAGCCCAAAGGAGGCAAGGAGAGAGAAATTACAAAAACAACCATGACTCATTAGTATCTGGACTTCATTGCTCATTATGCTTAGAAATGATCCCTGAAGGCACTTCATATCAAAGATACAGTTCTTGTAAATCACTGTATATACGGATCAAAATCCTACAAAAAATCAATGCCAAAACCAGCAATAGTGTGACTTTTCTCTTTGGCAGTGGCTTAGGTGCTCCTGGAAATCACCAGGCCTAGACACAAAGATGTGTATTCAGGGGAGGAAGAGAAACATCATGCTTAGGTCTAACTGTGACCTTTGCTAGCAGATCTTATTAGCAGTTAATAAATTATGTTTATCCTGCTGTGAGCCAGAGCCAGGATGGGAATCCAAGTCTAGCTGACAGAAGAAGATCACAAGCCTTCAGCCTTTCCAGAAGAGGAAAAATAC